AGATGTCTAAGTAATCATACATTTGAGTGATAATGTGCCAAGTTACATTCTCTGTGTTATACATATTAAAATATACAAAAACACCACACCTCAACACACACATTATTATGTGAGCAATCTGTTCAAACAGTAGATTAAAAAAAAATATATATATATGTGGTTCACAAAAACACAAAAAGTACAACAGAAGCTTCTTAAAGCCTTTATTTTTTTAATTTGGGTGGACTTTCTTTAAAGGGAATGTAGATAATTTATGTTGTACCCTTTAAAACATTTTACATTGTACAGCTTGATAATGGAATATGGAGAAATAAAAAGACAGGACCTTCCAAAGTCAGAGTCATACCAGAGTATATTTCAAAGTCACAAGCCAAACTTGGTATTATAACTCACTACAACTGAACCAACAGAAAATTAAGACAGAGTGGGTTGCCTCTCAGTACACTGCTTCACATGACCTGTTCTATTCCACTTATTATAGGGAGCCCCATGCCCTTAGTGTAATGACACCAACTATAACCCCCTTCCTTCCCCTGTGTTTAATAATTTAAAACATTCAACAATATCACTTTTTTTTCTTTTTAATTGTCTGAACTTGTAGATAAAAACACAACACCATCAAAAATAGAGAATGGTCAAGTAAACTTCTTTAAAAAAAAAACTATAAAGAAAAAGGACAAACTGGAATGACAAGTTTCTCTTTGTAAGCATGTCAGAAATAAAAAGTGTACATTCCTAATCATGCAATATACACATTTTAATCAAATATGCACAGGATAATGATCAGAATCAGGACAATGGATGATAAGGGGAATTGTTTTTTTTTGCAGGTTCTCTTACATCAGTCATTTTCCGGAACAGGGAATACATACATACTTATTTTCTATCGACAGTCTTGAAATACAGCGGATCAATTCAGCATTCAGACTCAACTACAGGACAGAAGATCCCATGGAATGGCTGACCTGATCTGCAGGTCACAGACATCATTATCATAGTCGTTATCTACAATAGCAGACAGATATGAAGAGGGCCTTACCAGTATGTGTGTTCAGAGACGCTACTGAGTCCGTTTTTATCTTGCTACTACAAGGTTAAGTCGTGCTGGACCAGGTAGTGACCTCAGACATGAAGTAAAACATCACAAGTACCTCTGAGAGATTAACAAGAGGTAGCCATTTAAAAATGAAAATGGCCCATTCATGTTTATCATAATGTCAATTCACAAAAAAACGGCAAGGCAGTTTCTGAAGGGAAAGGAAACATTGGGGTTTATCTGGATGTCAGTAAAGCTCCTGCGATGCTAGTCAAAGTGGCACAGGTGTAAATGTCTCACATAATTCCACATGAAGACAGACAGAGCTGCTGTTTACAGGGTGGAGGCTCCCTTTCATTGGCAGCCATGTTGCCTAATACTGATTGAAAAGTAACCTGAAACCACTTAACAGTTTCTGCTTACAGAGAACAACCTGAATGGTTTAACATTAAAGACAGGTTTTTAGTGTAACTTTCTCATCTCTTAGCCAGTCCAATGTGACTTTCCCATAGAAAGGAGGCAGTACAGCGATGTAACATGGGCAGCTCGCTTCATGCCAGATTATTCTGTCCCTAACTTTACCACGTGGTGACACAAATGAAGGCCCTCAGCACCATATCAGTTTCATAGAAATAACAGTATCCTTCTGGGTATTACAGTAAAATAACATATTCTATTTCACTGACGAATCCATCTGTGAGTTGAAGAGGAGGCTGATAAAGGTGGGACTGTCCAGAAAACTCATGTTAGACTGCACACTTCTACTCTGGGGTTAAATGTAATTATTTTTGACACCTTCAAATTCATCTTTGATTTTTAGAGAGGAATGATATGTTGGAAGTTCTTAGGGGGTCAAACTGCAGCTTAGCACAGTTGGTTAGGGAGCAGATCAACTGGGTAGAGAGAGGGGGCTCTAGTAGGTCAGACTGCACAGCTAAGGCACAGAGCAAAACCACTCATCTACTGTACTAATCACAAGGATTGTGTTGAACTAACACCAGCAGATCTGCTCTGAGCCTTGGCAAAAGGCAAGTAGGGCAACGGCTCTGAAAGAAGTTTAAAATCCATGCCTTATATGTAGCTTTGGTTACATCTCCCCACTACTGTGAGGAGGTTAGAGTCCCCATTTTCCAGTTTGAGAAATGTCCGTCACCAGGTCTACAAAGCTGAGCAGCACAAACACTGATGTGGAGAGGGCAGAGAGAAAAGGGGCGAGACAAAGGCGCAGACAGGTTTCAGACAAATAAAAAGAGACAAAAAAAAACAAACAAATCAAAAGACAAAAAAAAGAACCGCAAAACAGTAAAATCACGTTTCAACCATCAACAGCAAAAGTCCAGTTCTCAACGTTACATTACATGACTGTCACAGAGTGAATTGCCGACAGAGTGTAGGAACACAGGAAGGAGCAGAGGACACAGGGCATCCAGAAAAAGGAGCTCATTACAGTCAGAGGGAACCAGGAAGTAAAGATGAAAGTGCGTTGAAGACGGGCGAATTTACACAGTGAGTCTGTAAAACAACATCGAGTGTTGGGGAGTGACCACAGAGCTCAGCGCAACAACAGAGTGTGAAAAGAAGGAGGTAAGGGGATAGAAATCTTGCGAATCTGAGGACTAATAAATAAAGCGATACTGGAGTGCCAGCCGCAGTGTTTCGTAACATGATTATGTTGTGTTGCAGCGGG